TATACAATGATATAATATCATTGGATTCAAATTTAATTCCATCCATTACAGTAACCCACTTGTAACCTACTGTACAGCAGAGCGACATACACGACTTACCCGCTTTTTTTGTTTTGTTTTTTAAGTCCTGAAGTTTGATAGGTTGATCTGCATTAACCGCAATCTTCAAATATCCCCATAAAAAATATATATAATTATATGATACATTTATTTAATACATTTTTTTTTTATTATAATATTAATATTACTATTATCATTATAACTATTTTTATGTACATTTGATTAATACAGTTGATAAAATACTAAATACACTAATTATACATTAATCTAAATTTTGACTTATTCTAACTTGGTCAGTTTTGAAAATGGAAAAAAACTTTTTTATTGTGTTGAATTTTTTCTTGGAAAAATTCAAAATAGCCAATTTCATTATTTAATTTTTATAAAACTTCTGAAAGTAAAAATGTTATCATCCTATATACCTGTCGCAATATTATTCACGTTATATTCATATATACCTACTAGTTAGATGCAAGTGAAAATGATCAATAACAATCATTATCACAATGCACTAATTTTACTGATAAAATAGAATATTGCTGTAGGAGCATAGTGTATGCTTAACTAAATACTATAGGAATGGTTCCTAATAGGTGGTCTATAGGTCGATGTAAGGGGATTCACAAGATGTGATTGATCGGATAACTAGGAATAGGATTATACTCATATTTTAAATATTTCAATGTTCATACAAATTAAAAGTTGACAGTAAATTTTTATATAACATTACACACATATTTTGTCTACAAATCACCATAACAGAATYAACAATTCTGCTACATAACTTTGAAATAAAAATTGAATGATTAATAATCAAGTAAAAAGTTGTTTTTGTATTAATGGTTATGTTATGCACTATAAAAATAGTTGATGTAGCAGATAAATTTGTCAAACCAGAGAAGATTTATAATGTTAATGTTAATATCTAATGAGATTGCTACTTAAATCATAACAAATATTATTCAGTTCAATTTAACATTAATGTCATTAATTATTATATTAAATAATATGTATGTACAAATCAAATAAGAAAATTTCAACATAAAGGATGGAAAGAAAATGAAAATTATTATGCTTTTTAAAAATGATAATATTAAGAAAAATATTGATTTCAAAATGCAAAATTTTATTCATTTTTAATACGAGTATTTTGTACGTTAATGTCAAACTACATTTCCATAAAAATCAATTGTACAGAAAAGTACTCAAAAGTCTATCTTACTTGAATAATAACAAGAAATAAAGAATATATATTATTACAATGGTGCACAGCGAGCCATTAAATCAGCAGGTAGTTTAGAAGTTAGGAATTCTAGCTCTTTTCTACCACCAGATTTTTGTAACCATCTTTTTTCTTCATAATAATCTAACATGTTATTAAATTCCGTAGTTGAAAGTTCAGGGACCATCACTGGAATGAATGGATCTATATGTTCAAATCCCTGAAAAAATATGGTAAAATCATAAAACTATGAGTATACAATAATACATTGTAAAGCTATTTATATAATAATATTTACATATTGTATTATGAAATACTGTTGAACAACTTAATTTACTTTGGTTATTACTAAACAATTAAAGAGTTTCTATGTAATTTGGGTTTCAATAACTATACAATAGTGCGAACCACCAATAAATATATTAATTAGGAAAATTAGAAAAAAAATAAAATTACAAGGCATTATCTTACTTGTCGGCCAATGAGATAAATGGGTAAATGAGACTCTCTTTTTGTATTTAAAGCAGCTCTAGGAGATGTGACCATAACTATTGCACCATTATTCTAGAATAATAAATAGCAGTTTAGCACAATTTATTATTTAACATATTATGATACCAAATTAATGGTATCATTTATATATTATATTCAACATAATGCATACCCAATCAGAAAGAACTGCTGATAATCCTGTTTGGACCATAGTGATTTGTTGTGGAGTTACTTTAACCCTGTCTTCKGTTTTTAAGTCAGTTTTCTCATTGAAAAATGCATTAAATCCATCTATTGCCACTAACATTTTGCATCTAAAATTATAATCATTATACATTTATAATCTATTTATAGATCAATAAAACACAATAATTTAATCAACTAAATTTAAAAAAAAATAATTCGGTTTTTAAAAATATTTAATTTGTATGTACAAGTAGACCATTTGAAGGTATATATTACAAATACATTTATTATTAAAAGTTATATCAATGATTTCATAATTATATAGATAAGTCACTGAACACTCATATGTGACGGCTTGTCTGTATGTTATAAAATTGATGGTAATATTTAAAGTTAAAGGCAATATTTTTAATCGATCTATCAAATTTGCATGATGGCTAAAATAATTGGACAGTCACAGTTGATATTCAATTTTTTTTTGTCAAAGCTTCTTATTAAAATATTTTGTAAAACGATGCAGTAGGTATTAGTTAAAATTGGTTTGGAAATTATAGAATTACTATTTGTTGAAACACCAGTAAATAAATTTAACAAAAAATTTAAATTGTTAATCAACATTTTGTTTACACTTATAACTACACAACTAATAGATTTTTATCATAAAGATATGTGGTGATTTCTGATTAGGAACAGTAAATAAGTCTGTACTACTTTTGTTAATTTTATTGAACATGAATTTTATGATTTTCCATAAAACTAATAAATATATAAAATAACCTTGTATGTTTACCTTATTAGCTGCCATACAATACACAGACTACCTTAGTACTGTTGTTAAAAAATTTAAAAAAATTTAAATGAATAATTGATAATAAAAATATGTAATTAGGTTTAATATGATTTATGTATATCATATCGGTATTCTTTCAAAGTTATTAAGTAGTATTATGGCCCTAATGAATTGAATGAAGTACTGATTTTGTTATAAAAACATTTAGGGGTTGGGGATGGGGACTATAGGACCTGGAGTCTAGAGGAGTACAGGTATTTAAAGCACCCAGAAATACTATTTTATAGAGCTCATACATTTAGTATATGGGTACAACATTTGATAGGGGACTGTCAACATTTATTAATATATTATAATACCTTAATTACAAAATACTCTTAATAGATAATATTTTACCAGGACAAACATTTAAGTTACACAATATTCTACTTTTTGCTCAAGTAATAAATTTAATTTCTTTTTATCTTAAAAATTGTTTAAATTTATATTAAATAATTTATTTTAAATAGTGTAACTATTTTTAATTAAAAAAATTTAAGTTTCAATTTTTATAACTGCTATAATTCCCAATTTCACAAGTAACATCAGTTATAATATAATAATTACCATTAGTAATAATAMGATTTATGAACAATTAAATCATGATATTTTCATGAGGTAAACTTACTTATTATTTGTGCAATGAGCTTTTAGTTCATTCAGAAGTATATCCATGCAGTCACATGCATATTTAGCTCTATTAATGCCATGTGTAACTAATTCATTTAGTGTAGTTCCTCTGGGTGTAGTTTCTCGTTGACTCCAAACATAATCTTGACTTGTAGTAAGCTAATAAAATAAAATAATAATCCATTAAAAAAATAATATAGCTATAATTCTTTAATCATATATTTACATTGAGTTCATTTAATAAAGCTCCATTTTGATGTAGGAAATGCTTTAACCACTGAGCTGCTACTAATGGTATGTCAGCCAAGCCATTCTTAGAAGTTGACCAGTTAACTTCTTTACGATCATATTTAAGCCATATTGGGACTAAAATAAAATATTTTTTTGTAGTTAGAAAAATGTTAAAAACTATAAGGTATAAAATGTAGGTACCATAAGGGATGTGGTATAAGATGAATTTTGAACTATAAGCATAATGGAGTATATGAGCAAGGCTGAGTGATTTACCACTTCCAGTTTGGCCGTCTATAAATTAACATATTAAGGAAAATATGTATCAACTATGTATTAAGAGTAAGCTCAATAATAGAAACACAATTTTAAAAGGATACACAGTAAATATCGGACGGCTGGTTTCTGGAAATCAGTTGATTTCAAACTGTTAATAATTTCCAATGCTGGCTTTCGTATCATTAACGCAGTTTCAGCAAACATATTGGTTTGTTCGGTGAAAGGTTTTGGCATACCACCCGTTTGAAATATATTACTAACAGTTTTTGAATCTATGGTGTAAAATTTTGATAAATCATGACTGTCATGGTCTCCCTGAAAAAGGAAATTTTAATCAATAGTAATACAACTGTACATTATACAATACTGCAATAGGTATGTATTTGTAAAATTTCAAACCGGATTTTTCTTTTCAGTGCGTGCAGCTGTCGGAATTTGGTACTGCGTTTCTTGTTTTACTGCTGTTGTAGCATAATTACAAAGCCGTCTGTATGCTCTCATTTTTACTAATCTTCACAACCACCTTTGTTCATAGGACATTTAATTATTACAAATTTGAAATTACGATTAATTCAATACAATTTAATTCCAAAAGAAGCCGTGTGAAACTGGTGAGTGTTGAGTACTAAGTGTCAAGCTCAAGAATTTCTGTTTTCTGTTAGATCTTCTTGTGGTTTTTTACATTTTACAATGATAAATTGATAACGATAAGAAATGATAAAGAATATGATAAACATAATGTTTTTATCAAGGTGGATTTCATTTATTATTTTTATTAAGGACTCAAAATAACAAGATTTTTAATAAATAAATTGTTAGTATTCTTAATAGAGAGTTTATTTCAATGAAACTAACAAATAAAATAGTTACAATATTAAGAAATCATCCTCATGTATATAAAATATAGAAACCATTCTTTCATTGTGAGGAGAATTTAGTCATATTTAAAAATTCATAATCATAAGTTGGCTATCATGACAAGGATATCAATATTACTCTGCCCCTCCTAATTCATGTATTTTAATTCTTCATGTAACCATAGTAGTGATTTTTTTAACATTAGTGGTTTTTTGAACGGTTGTTTTAAAACGTTTTTGCTTGGATAAATGTATTGTTGAATCAATTATGTAAAATATTGTACATTGTTTTCTTTTCTGTAAGTTGTTATAGAGACATACACACCAAAAATGTAAGTACTAGTTTCTGTCACTATTGTTAGTAGCTACTTATATAAATAATAATAATATTATGAATTTTAAAACATTTACATTATTAACAGTAAAAAAATAAATATATATTATAACGCATAATTAAGATTTTTATTAGTTCTTTATTTATTTTTAAGTAAAACAATTACAATTTAAATTTAAAAAAAAATCATCATTATTGAAAGGTGTTTTTATTTCAGCGACTAAAAAATAATAGTATTAATATTTAAGTAGGTATATAAAATGTATTGATACATAAGCGTATTAGGATCTATAATATTGTTATACAATACTACACCTGCTTTTAGGTTGATTAGTTTTATAGGTAATACAATTCTGTATTCAACTACTTATATGGTTCTTGTAATATTGTAAAGTTTGGTAGGTTAGGTAGTTACTTAGATACTTTTAATTTTAAAGAACAAGTTTTTATTATTTAGAATTATTTATTCTCTAGACTTAATAACTATAAAGTACCTAGTATTTATGATGTTTCTATCTAATATTCATGTTTATTGTTTTAAATTATTGAAGTATAATTTTTCATTATTTTAAATTCTAATTTATTTTTATCTATTTAAAATGTTTAMAAATATTTTAAACACCTATATTTTGTTATTTTTATATTTATTTAAAAGTACCTACTTTTTATATTCCGTATGTTAAAATGTACCTTCTGTGAAATATTTAATCCTATTTTACAGGATAATAATTAGATTAAATGTACCGAGTATTAGCTATAAATATTATTTTATTTTCCTGTTTCTTGCAGGACAATTTCTGTGATATCTAGTCAAAAAAAAAAAAAAAACATTAATTTAAGCCAAAATTTATAATAATATGTTGAATAATGAATGCTAAAGAACGTGCACGTAATAGATGGAAATTATTGGCAAATACTGTCAGTAAAAAATGTCAAGACCAGATATTTGCTTCACAAATAAGCTATGATCTCTTTAATATTGAATGCATCAATACTGAATGGTCTAAATATTCTTCATGTGTTCAAAACAATAATTTCTCTGCAATTGTATGTCGATCTCCTATAATTGTTACGCCTGAGGAACTTATGGGCTTTAACAATACGGGGAATGTTCGTATATGGCCATCTGAAGAAGTATTAGCTTACTATGTACTATCAAATCTGGATTCATTCAGAGATAAGACTGTACTTGAGCTGGGCGGTGGTATGAGCTGTTTGGCTGGTATAATGGCTGCTCTATATGGTTTTTGTAGTGATGTTCATTTGACTGATGGAAATCCGAATTCTGTATACAATGTTGAGCGTATACTTGAGAAAAATGTGTTCACAACCAAAGTTACTTGTTCGGTTAGTTATGATGAACATTACCTATTATTAAAGTAATGACACCATACATGTAGACTTGTTTGTTGTTCTTTAATATCTACATGTATTAATCTGATCTTTTTTCTATTACCTATTATTATTATTTCAATGTTTTGTTATTAACCTGTTATATTTATACATTGTTGTAATTATTAGTACCTATTTTAATTTAATGATATTGGATTTGGATTAAAAGAATCTAATCTATCATTTGTTTTACTCTTTTTTTTTAAATTAAATTTTTTAATTTTTATACTCACTGTTTGTTTGTGTTAATCAAATACCTAGTTGTAGTGGAACAATCTGAATTCTTTCTCGTTTATAAGCATGCTTTTGAAGACGTTTAGTAGCCTGAAATGAACAAGTCAATTTTTGAATTTCCAATTTACTCTGGAACTAATGGTAACATTCCATGATTAGGTGTTGAAATGGGACCAAAGACCTGCAAACGTTTGTCATTATGATGTCGTACTAGCTGCTGATTGCCTGTTTTTTGATGAAGCTCGTGACGATTTGGTGCATACTATTGCAGCATCATTATCATTTGGTGGAGTTGCATTGGTTGCAGCACCAAAACGAGGGACTACTTTGTACGAGTTCATAAACATGGCACAGCAAGAGGGTTTGATATGCACTGTACAACAAAACTACAACACTCTGGTATGGGAACGTCATTCTAAACAGGTTCTCTACAATCCTTCATATGATGCTGATTCACATTATCCACTGTTGATAAGTATCACCAAAGCGACCAAAATTAGTGATTGCCAATTTCAATAAAAAAAATTAAGAAAAATTATAAACATCAATAAAAATAAAAATATTAGATCTGACAATCCAAAATTGTCAGTAGATAAATACTCAACTTACCATATTAAAAAATCACAACAATGATCAACTTCTGGAAACCAATATTTTTTTTTATAATTTCTGCAATGTTGAATTCATAGGAGGGCATAGTTGAATCAATCATCTCCCTATAGTTGAAAAAATAAGTTTTTAGTAAAACAATAATGTTAAAAAGTTAATATATAGAAATGCTGTTGTTAAAAAAAATTCCAATAGAAAATATAATAATATAGTATAGTTCTTTCTTTTATAATCAACAACCCTCATACATAAACAGTGTTTTAATGGCTTGTAAGTCTTCTAATTTTTGATTTTTTTTTTTTTTTAACAACTATAAAATCTCCACTACCACTTTTTGGAGTTGCATCCATCCATGGATTTTTGTATTTATAATCCAATAGTTCCATTTCAGTATTCATTTATAGATTTTATTTTATTAATATTATTATTATTTTGTAATATTATTCGTTAAAACTATTACCTACCTGGCTACCTATACAAAATTATACCTTATAAACTTAAATTTCCAAAATAATTGTTATAGGTATGTCATGCATTGAATGTGAATAAAAGTGAGCCTGGTTATATTTAAAATATTGAAGAAGATAGAAAATTAAATTGTTTGTTATTATGTAGTTCCATTACTTTAATTAGATTTAATAGGTTCCTTTCCTAAACATGAATGTTAATATCAAATAGAGTTCCTAGAGCTTACTGAAAAAATTTTTTAAACAGGGTGTTGGTTTATTCGAATTTTCTATTAAAACAAATCTAATTATATTTAATATCTTTGTTAGTTTTGAAGTTGCCAATAATTGAAATTTAATTTCATTCTTCGTTGTAAATTGTTTTTAAAGTAATTATCTCCATTGTTCCTCTACTGTAGTTATTTTTTTTAATTTATAAAGTTATACCTATTGAATTATCATATTTATGTTGAAAATTATATTGTTTTATTGTCTTTGTTTTGTCTTATTTTCATGTAATTAAAAAATCAAAAATATTTATAAAGAACAACATTGATAGGTAGTTTAAATATATACATATTTGAATATTTCTTATAAATTTATTATTGTTGTTTATTTATTGACACTTAAGAGGACGTTACAGACATATTTGTTGTCTCTGTCTTACAAGTGCATAACATACCAAATTTACGCTTAACAGATCACCTTTAATTCCATTAGTTTAAAAATTAGTGTAAATTAACCTATTATGAAACTTGGTGGTTAAAACATTACCTGTGTTTATATGTGGGTTTTTTTACGATAACTTAGTTTTTAAGTGAGTTATGAGCATTTTTAATTTACGCTTTTTATATATGCATAACTTGCTACAAAATTGAACTATCGTAAAAAAACTACTTACAAACACGGATAATGTTCTTAACATCAAGTTTCACAATAATTCGATTCACTATAATTTTTAAACTAATGGAGCTAAATGTGATTTGCTGAGTGTAAATTTACAATGTTATGCATTTGTTAGATGGAGACAACAAATGGTTGTGTACCTCTTAATTGCAATTTAAATAATGTTTTTAGTTATAATTAAAGCAAGGAAAGTAATTTGATGGGATTATTTTTGTTTCAAGTAAATTCTAGTTTATTAGTTTTCTTTAATTTATCACTGAAAGATAGATATTGTGTAGTAGGTATATTGTATTTGTAATTGTCATGTAACTACCTACCACAACATAATTTGTGCTGAAATCAAACATGCACACTCCATCTATGCGAATTTGTAATTTAATAAAAAATTCAAAATTACTTTTGTCTGTAAAGTATTAGACTGATAAGTAAAAAATCAATAACAAAGTAGACTCAAACAATTGAATTTTAATGAAGACATTAAATTAAGTAAAGAATTAAGACACTTAGATCAAAGTTTATGTTATATCACCCAATTACAAGAAGAATGGTTGCAGTTAGATAATGTGTTAAAAGAAAATATGTTTGAAGCTTTTTAAATCGAAACAAAAATAATATATATTACATAAAATAAAAATTACAATAACTTTTTAATTTATTTCTATACATTGTGCTTAAAATGCAGCAAATTCAAGCAGGTAGCATACAAGGTTAGTACTATAGTATTAAAAAAATATTTATAAATTTATCACATACCTTAAAATATCGAATGCCTTCACTATAAATTATATTTTAATGTATGTTCCTATTTGTAATTTTTTTTTCTTGCTTTACAATAGTAGACTGTGTGTATTAAATATTGTAAACAATTTTTAAATCTCTTAAGATAGGTCAAATTCCTATGAATATCATTTTATTACTATAGTAATTATAAACACCAATACATTAAACATATTGAATTTAATTATATACTATAATATGGGTATATTATACATTTATAAAATATATATTTATATAATGCTACTGCTATTATAAAACCTAGGGTCCAATTTAGAAATAACTATAACTTGACATACGTTTTAATATATTAATATTGTATTCTTTAGCTTTATAAAATCATATATAAAATATTTACTTGTTAGGTACATATTATTATATATTTATATTATGGTTGTAGATAATTTAAAAGACAATTATTTTTTACACTGTTACCATTTAATATGTTTATTTAACATTTCTAGTCTTGTTTAGTCATTATTCATATGAAATTAGTATTACTTTTGAAAATAGAAGTGATTTATTTATTATGTATTTTATTATTAATGTGTTTATTAGCTTAGTTTATATATTATTAATATGTGATAATTAAAGGAAAAAGGCTATTCTGCCTACTTGGTAAATTTGTTCAATAATA